GAACTGTGCCAATACCTGTAGAATATGTTGGCGGGTCTAGCGGGTCCTTTAATCATCTATAGGGTATCATAATAATATCCCTAGTTACTTCTCTAGTTACTTATTTAGAGTACGACAAGAGTAGAGTACGACAAGAGTCGGTAAACAACTATTGTTGACCACCTCAGCCTACAATCTGCCCAATGACCATCAAATTAGGGTTTAGAATATGGAACCTAGAAAGGTAGCAGCCGGGTGAGGGTTAATAATAGCTAAACGGAGTCTATTGTTTTACCAAGAATAAACTTTGACCTGTTCTATAGAGTTATGTGGGTAAACTGTCCCCAACTATCCTACCCCTGACCTACCCCCTCCTACCCCCTCGGCACCCTTTTTTACCATGAGTGATGCCTAACAAAGATCATAGTAGCATGCTTAATCATTGCCTAGCGTTGGTCGGAAACTGGTTATTGCTTACTTACCATTAGAAGATTATTCCTATCAGTTGCTATAATGGGAAGTACCCGGCTTAAAGTACGTGCGGTACAACCATTCTCAAAGGTACGTACCGTATCTTTTGTCTGATGTACGATATGTTCTCGAATAGATTGGAAAAATTGTACTTTTCATTCTTTTAAATTTACGTGTGTGGCGATAACTATTTTGAACATGTTTAAACTCAGTGCAAGTAAATATTTAAAGAACTTGATATCTTTCAGCATCCTAACTAATCATCTGAGATGAGAAATAATCAACAGTCTTACTTTAGAAAACGTGTCTTAATTGCAGAATATTTATTCAGCATAAATATTAGCAGATACAGCAACCGACAGAAACATAGTTTGTGTCGTTTAAATTTTTGTGTCGTTTAAATTTTTAGACATATCATAAGAATCGCACTACACAAAGAAGATTAGGTATTAGTTTTACAAAAGGACAAAGGAGAGAAGAAGTATTTTTATTAAATACGATCGCTGCGGTTCCTCATCTCAAAGCAAGATATTTTATTCATATTTCATCGGTCCTTTTGTCGGAATTCTGCACAAAGAAGGTCTAACAATTAACAAAAATTGTTCAATTTGAATCTAATAGAGTAAATTGTAGGAATATTGCTGTACGGTAGCCTTGAACCGTTTCACCATTTCATTTCTCTGGAAATCAGATCTCTTTTCAATTTCGCATCTACAGATTCGCAGAAAATGTGTAAGTATTAAGTAGGTATATATACTTACTTAATACTTACACATTTTATAGTACTATTTCAGTATATTTATAATGATAATCATTATATTATATTATATTCAAAGAATACCAAATACAAAAATAACTTCAGTTTAATAACCTATATTATATAAATCAACTTTGTTATTTCTCCACTGCTGTTTATTTTGAATTACAATCTAATGATGATCTTTATATACTATGAAATCCCAGTTTTTTTGTTAAAAATATACGCGCATGGAAACCCCGTGTAGCACGCACTGAGCAGGAAATTATCTAGATAAGCCATAGGGCCGTATTTACCAAATTTGCTTAAAGTGTGCCAGTGAAATATTGGTGGGAAAATGTTTGACCTAAATTTGAATTCTTAGAGCTACTATATTTTGTTCATATTTTTTTATAGGTTGTAATGAACAAAGTTCTTTTCGTCCATGAAACGTATTCAGCAGCAAGTTTTAGTTTATCGAGAAAATATCGCACATCGTTGTCCTTAAACGAATTAATAAACTTATCCTGCAACTTCGGTACGTTGAAGGGAAGGTTTTTATTTATTTCGTTCACCGTGTTGATATATAATCCCATGTTAGACATGCTATAATCTGTTCGGTTCACTTCATTAGAAAGTTCTACTACATAAGGGTTGCCCGGGCCACCGTAACAGAAACACAGCCCACGGCAGTCTTTGACCTAATTTGCACACTAACCCATTTGAACTGCAGCCAAGAGATTCAACCAA